TTCTACTTATTGAGAGAATTCTGATTTTGAAATTCGATATCCGATCATTTTTTTTTTTTAAATGAACGAAGTTCAGAGTTTATTTTTTTTTTTTTCTTTTTCTTTTTGTAGAATAGTAGATACGCGAAGGAAGGGACTCGATGGATTCTAAATGTTAAAATTCGAATGGTTCGTTCGTTCGATGGATGAACACGGATGAACACAAGAGTAAATCAGTGAAATGAAAAGGAAACCATCGACGACTTCCTCGAGCTGCCGTTGAATGTGCTTCCTTCGAATCGAATTCTATCTTTCGTTTCACGTGTAGCGGGTGGCCGATGAGAAACTTTGAGGATATCGTTTTTCCTCTGTGGAATCGTGTACGACACGTCGGCAAAGATAGATGACACGTTTTGTCCGTGGATTTATCTCTGTACACAAAAATGTTTTTGAGAGAATCCTGCGAGTTGGTAATTGATAGAATACGATATAATTAAAATAGAAGAATACAATTGTTGCATCCTGTATGAAACATGCATGAGAAAAGAAACTTCTATCATCGCAATTGTGTTCAAAGAGTGAATTTCGTAACGTATCTTGAATCTTCGATGACATCTCGTACAACATTTTCTCTTTTTGGTAATTGATTCCACAGATTCAACGGTGGTCGTCAAATCGCTCAGTTTTTTTATCTTGTTAAATATTATCCTGCACTATTATTATCGTTATTGTTGTTATTATTATCATGTAATTATTCTTATTATCGTTACTATTAGCATCATTGTTATTATTATTATTATTATTATTATTATTATTATTTTTATTATTATTATTATTATTATTAATATTATTAATATTAATATTATTAACATGTATACATAACATCTGTAGATAATTCTTCAAGCTTTAAAACGAACCTATATAAGTGCCTCGAGCAAGTCGATGCGTCTCTCTCTTTCCTCGTTCATTGTTCACGTTATTTTATTTCATTTTATTATCTTCTTCTTCTTTTTTTTTTTTTTTTTTTTCTCTCTAATCGTTTTAATTCTTTTTTCGTTTTCTCGTTTCGTCGCACAGGTTGCTCGAAAACGTTCGTTGCCGTCTTCGACGAAGGCAGGCTTCTACTTATATTCATTTCCCGATCGAATAGAAGGATAACGGGCTCGAAAGAACAAAGGATGCGTGTGATGCGCTCTCTCTCTCTCTCTCTCTCTCAATCTTCCTTTCACTCTATTTTATTCTTTCGCACTCTGTCGCACTATCTTGCGTGGTTTTTTATTTTTTTTATTTTTTATTTTTTTATTAATTATCAGCGGTTGGTCGTAATCGAACGAACATGAAGGAGAAATGATATTATTTACAGCACGAGATGTACATATATATACGTTGCAAGCAGAGCATACGATCCACGCGTGATTATCGTAACCGATATTTTCATATTTAATTCGAAAGCGTAAAAAAATCTCGAGAGTGGAATATTCGCTTTTTTCCTCCTTGATTGATGTCTAACTACGTTTCATCGTGTTATCAACACAAATAATAAACGAAAACGTTGATAAACGATAATAATAAAAGGGAAGAGGCGTTATAAAATCTTGACGAAGAGAATGTCTTCGAGAAAAATTTTCAAACGATACGTGACTTTACGTTTTTACGTTCGTATGTAAGTATCTCGAACTTATAGTATAGTAGGGTATATGAAACGACACGGAAGATCTGCACGGTCTTCAATTATAAATCGTAAGCTCTTCCTCGAAACTCTATACATGTTTTATTTATTTATAAAGTAAACGTCGATATACATTTATACACACATTTATTTATTTATATTCGGCACTTCTTTACGGAGGGAAGGGAGATACAATGAAAATTCCCTACGATACGCTGCCTTCGTCGAAAAGGATCCTGCTAGTTTTTACGGACACCCTGTATCACGATATATACCCGATATCTCACCACTAATTCCCCCCTCTTCTCTTTGTACACACTGGCCATTATTTTTCTCTCTCTTAATTTTTATTCTTATTTATCTTAACGCGTATTATAGATTCACAAAGATGGACGAAGGAAGGCAAGGATCGATCGACTTTACGCCGATCCCTCGTCCTCTTTTCTCTTCCTCTTTTTCCGTTTTTGTAACCGTTTTTTGCATCAATGGGTCTCAAAACGAACGATCGACAAAGATTCTTAATTTTAATAAATCGTTTCTTTATCCCGTGGCCGGCCTTCGTCCATTTGCGAAACATTGACAAAATAAATTAAACCGCGTCCGTTCTCGTGCTCGAGTCGAAAGCGTCGTCGTTTTGGATTTCGAACAGAGAAGGCGGAATTGCGAACGAAATCATAATCGTTGCGTCCTCTTCTTCTTCTTCGATCTTCTCTCCCTTCCTAGAATCTATCTATCTATCATTATATTTCGATTCGTTTCTATTTTTTTTCCTTCCCTTTTCCTTCTCTCTCTCCTTTTTTTCCTTTTTTTTTTTTTTTTTATCAGATTTGGAAGATCGAAGAACTTTTTTCT